CCCCCGGGCCCCCCCCCCCCCCCCCGCATCCTCGGCTTCTCCTGCATCCCTGGTCTCCCCTCGCATCTCCCGGCTGCGTCCCTCGGCCTCACCCCCAGCCGCGGGGCTGCACTCCCGGTCTCAGCGTGCATCCCGGGGCTCATCCGCATCCCGGGGCTCCCCCCGCATCCCCGGACTCACGGCCCGCTCTGACCCAGCACCCCTGGGCTCCCCCCGCCTCCCGTTCGGACCCGGAGCTGCGATCCCCCGAGGCCGGGGGGCTTCCCGAGCTCCCCCACCCGCGGGGGTCCCTGCTCAGCCCCCACTTTGGCAGGAGGCCTACGTGGAGTACCTGAAGAGCATCACCCTCATCGCCCAGGCCCTGCAGGAGGAGGCGGCAGGCACAGGTAAGGCAGCACCCCTTGCCCCCAGCCCGCGGAACCACGGTGGGAGTCCTGCAGCGACCTCAACACACCCTCCCCACAGAGAACAGCGAGGGGATCACCCCTGACACCCCAAAGCTGCTGAAGCTCGCGGAGCAGTGCCTGGAGAGGGTCAAATCCATCGCAGCAGCGCTGGGTGAGTCAGGGGTGGGGGTCCCGTTTTGGGGAGCTGGGTGCCCCCGCAGGGTCAGGCTGGTGGTGAGGCACAGCCGACCTGTCCTGCCCCCCTCCCCAGGGAAAACCCAGGTGAAACCGGCTGCAAAGGAGCAAGGTGGGGGCCCTGTGCCCCTCCCCAGGCACCGCCGGGTCTGCTCAGACGAGGGGGGGAAGCTCTCGCCATTCCTGCCCCCGGAGATCTTCCAGAAGCTGCAGATCGCTGAGGCACAGAGCGCACGGAAGTACGGGGGTTTGGACATGGGAGCTGGGACAGAGAACGGTGCAGCATGTGGGGCTGATGTGGACTGGGATACAGGGGCTGGGACGTGGGAGGCTGGAACACAGCAGGTAGGACATGGGGGGTTCAAACACGAGGGGTTTGGGACACGAAGTCTGGCAAGAACTGCAACACAGGGACTGGTGGTGGCCCCATGCCTGCCTGGGGGATCAAGGAACAGGATGTGGTCCTGGCACGTGTCCTGTGTGCTGTGGCAAGTGCTGAGGCTGTTCCTACAGGGAGCTGACCCCACTGGAGGAGGCCTCCCTGCAGAACCAGAAGCTGAAGGCGGCCTATGAGGCGCGGGTGGCGCGGCTGAACCCAAGCCAGGCCGTGCAGAAGACATCCCTGGCAAGTGGGGAGCTGGGGAGGAGCTGGGAGACGGATGAAATCGGCAGCCAGGCAGGGAGAGGGTCCCTGGGGGACCCCCACTCCCCACTGGTGGCCATGGCATGTGGGTGCATGTTCCCATCTCTCCTCCTGCTCCACAGACGCTGTCCCTGCAGCGGCAAATGATGGAGAACCTGGTGATCGCCAAGGCCCGAGAGGAGACCGTATCCTTCCCTTTGGGATTGCTCTAAGAGCTGGCTCCAGCAGAGCTTCTGCCCTCTCCTGGGTGTCACTGACCCCATGCAGGCCTTTTGGCTCTCAGCTGGGGGATGGAGGAGGGCGAAGGGCAGTGGGTGAGCACGGTAGTGGCTCCGGACCCTTAACTGTGCCTGGCCCAGCTGCAGCGCAAGATGGAGGAGCGGCGGCTGCGGCTGCAGGAGGCGGCCAACCGGTGAGTGGGGAGCACTGCAGGGACCCTGAGCTGTGGGGACACCCAGCAGTGCCCTCACTGGCCCGGGGTGTCCCCAGGAGGTTCTCCAGCAGCGTGGCCCTCACCCCCGAGGAGCAGGAGCAGCGAGCACTCTACGCTGCCATCCTTGAGTACGAGCAGGACTATGTGAGTGTGTGCCAGGGGCTGCTGGCAGGGCTGGGGGCTGTGCCGTGGGGCAGGAGGCTGTGCCGTGGGGCAGGGCGCTGCACCACCCCCACGATCAGCCCTGGACACTCCCCAGGACTGGCCAAGACAGTGGAAAGCGCAGCTGAAGCGAAGCCCGGCGGATCTCTCGGTGGTGTCAGGGCTCTTCTCCTGCCTCCTGAGGTAGTGCTGGGGTGGGCACGGCCCTGCCAGAGCGAGGGGGCTGCAGGTGCTGCCGGTGCCCCCCGCCCACCCCATCCCTCTGCCCACAGCTGCCCCGAGCACCCCATCACGCAGCTGCTGCGGCGGCTGCAGTGTGCGGTGTACGCCCGGCTCTACCCCGCCGTCAGCCGCAGCCCCGCCGACGCTTCCCCCGCCTCCCCCTCGGGTCTGTCCTTCCTGTCGCTGGACGCGGGGGGCTCCTCGCTGCCCTCCGAGCCGGGGGGCCGCCGGCTCCGAGCGTCCCGCAGCCTGCACTGCATGTTCTCGGTGCCCGAGCACGGCCCGGCCGCGCTGCGGCACAGCCAGTCCAGCACCCCCCTGGCCGACAGCGGCGCCCCGGGGCCCACACAGCCCCCCGAGACCCCCCGGGAAAGCTCCTTCGAGGACCTGGAGCGGTTCCTGGCGTCCCCCGAGGGCTGGGCCCCCGCAGAGCCCCCGGCCAGCTCCGGGCAGGACGCGGCGCTGCCGGAGCTGCTGAAGGGCGTCGTGAGGGACATCCACAACGCCATGGGTGAGGGACGGCTGAGGGAGTGGGGGCGGACGGCGGGCTCTCCTGCACCCCGTTTGGACTCGGGGCGCAGGGTGGGCAGGATGGGGGGGTCCCAGTGTG